AAAAAAAAAAAGAAAAGAAAAAAACCACAAATTTGAAACACCAAATATTTATCATTCTTTATTCTATTCCTCTAGCCACAGCCTCCCAAGTAGCTAGGACTAGAGGCACACACCGCCATGCCCAGCTAACTTTTTTTTAGACTCATCATGTTAATCATCACAGATCCCAGAGCCAGACCTCCTGGGTTCAAATCCCATGACTGTCACTTGCCAACTGTGTCACCCTGGGCAAGTTACTTCACCTCTCCATGTCTCGGTTTCCTTATAGGTGAAATAGAGATGGTAAAGATTGGTCTTAAACTCCGGGAGACAGGAAAGAGATGGTAAAGGTTGGTCTTAAACTCCAGGAGACAGGAAAGTGATGGTGAAGGCTGGTCTTAAACTCCGGGAGACAGGAAAGAAATGGTGAAGGCTGGTCTTAAACTCCTGGTCACAAGCGATCCTCCCGCCTCAGCCTCCCAAAGCACTGGTATTACAGGCATGAACCACTGTGCCCAGCCAACTTTTCAGTTTCTAATTCAGGTTTCTGTGTGCGCTCGGTCTGGTAGAAGGTATACTGAACGGCACAGTTACTAGAAAGGCATACTTCCCAGGATCAGTTCATAAATTGGCGTTCAATCTATATAGCAATCCCTGGTAAGGTCATTTAGGGTGAGTCAGTCTCTGAGAAATTGATCCCTGTAATGTTCAGAACCTGGGGCAGAAGTGGTCACTGGAGGCAGTAAGAAGTCCAGGCTTTGTGGTCAGCTGGAACTAAATTCAGATCCTGGTTCCGCTGCACACAAACCATGATGCCTCACCCTCCCCCAGCTTCAGTTTCCTCAGCCATAAAGATAGCAATACTTACCTTGCAGAGTGGTTGTGAGTACGAAAAGTATGATGTATATAAAGCCAGAGATGTGATAAAGAAGGCACTCAAGAAATGATAATCCCTCCCTTGGGCCTTTGTCTTATAGCCACTTGACCTCCCTAGGTGATGTCTCTTCTGTCTTTATGAATGACCAAATCTCCCAGTGTATATGCCTGCTTTATTCTTTTTCTTTCTTCTGCTCATATAATTCTCTGTGCACTTCCATTTATTGACATTGTTCCATAGTTATTTTTAATGACTGCAGTGTGATATAGTGTACTGTACTTGGCTCTAGAGAAGAATCCAGTTTGGATTCCTGTTCTGCAATTTTGTCAGCTCTGCAACCTGGGATAAGTCACTTTACCTCTCTGAACCTCTCTCTGTATCTGTAAAATGAGGGAAATGGACTACACAATGCCTAAGGCTCCTCGTTTCCTGCCCTTGAGAAACTGCAACAGTCACGGTCAGGTAGCCTACAGAGAGCTTGGTTTAGTCTGCGTAGCAATTTGAAAACATTAAGTTTGGGATCCCTGCCATTTACTGAGCAATTTCATTTTAGGAATTTACTAATTAGAAAATAAGCACACAGGAGCACAAAAATGTGTGTACAGAGATGTACTAGGATGCCTGTCAACTTTCCTTATAATGTTAAGAATTAAGCTAAAAGCAACTTTTAATATTGTGCTTTGTAATAAGAAATGTATGTGTATTTTAGTGTTTGTTCCCAGTTCCTGGCACAGATCTCCTAAAACCCTTGAGATTGCCTGATCAGTAGGGGTGCTAAGAGAATCTTTTGCTCTCATATTTGATCTTTGACTCTGATTCCTGACATGGAGCACCTAATCCTTGGAATTTCCTGCAGGATGGGAGCATCTTTTGTTCTACTGAGGCGACTCTTAGTGGGCCCCTGTGTGGGAGTTGGTCACCAGAAAGACCAAACCATGATTAGAAGTTTTGAAAGTTTCACCCTCGTCCTCCAGAAAGAGGAGAGGGCCTGGAGATTGAGTTAATAATTGATCACGCCCGCATGATGAAGCCTTCATAAAAATCCCTGAACTCTGGCTCGGTTTCCTGGGGGGTGGGCTCAGCCTACACCACCTCCCCTCAGCCGAGCCTACAGTAGAGGGCCCAGGCATCCTCCCCCATGGGAGAGGCGTTTGAGTAAGGAGCCT